CCCTCCACAATGTGGGTGGGTCTCATCCAGTCAGTGGAAGGCCTACGGAGAACAAAAGACTAACCTCCCCTGAGCAAGAAGAAATCTGCAGCAGACGAGCTTCAGACTCGAACTGGAGCATCAGCTCTTCTCTGGGTCTCTGGCCTGCCAGCCCACGCTGCAGATTTTGAACTTGCCAGCCTCCATAATGCAAAAGCCAGTTCCTTAAATAAATCTCTTTCTGTACATATAAACATCCTGATGGGTCTGTTTCTCTGGAGGATGCTGGCTAGGACACCTTCCGGTGTCGCCCTGTGGTCTATGCCTACAGCATCTCTTGCTTGGACTTCCGAGGCTCTCCCAGTGCCAGTATCTCCTTCCCATGTTCCCTGCCAGAGCTGCCAGGGCTCTCTCACTAAAGCACAGGTATGATATTGTTCTGCCTACAGCCCTTCCACTTGCCCCACCTTCCCCAGCAATGCCTCCCTAACCTCAGTCATCCTTGTACCACAACCTTCGTGATTTTTGTTTATACCAGACTTTCCTCTTGCTGAAATCAAAGGGAGAGAAATAGAACTGAAGGAGATCTAAATTTCCCCCCTGTATTATTCAGAATTACTCAATACTAAATCCACATCTGAAATACCATAAAGGAAAGTATTCCATTCCACATTTTAGGGAACGTTCAGTTATAGGATAAAATCTGTTCTCCTTCGCAGGGACTTCAAGGTCCTTCAGCATCAACACATACATTCATCTCTCTGTATCCATGGAGAATTGGTTCCAAAAGCCCTTGTGGGTACCGAAGTCCTTTATGTTATATAAAATGGAGTAGTATTTGCATATAACCTATGCACATCCTCTCATATACTTTAAATCATCTCTATGTTACTCATAATACCTAATACAATGTGCGCACATCACTTCATTTGCATGGATTCGACGTAGTACTTGGCACATGGAAAATTCAAGTTTTGCTTTTTGGAACTTTGTGGAATTATTTTTTCCTGAACATATTTGATCCACGTTGGTAGAACCCACTGATGCAGAACCCACAGATAGGGAGGGCCTACCGTACTTATCAAATGCTAGTCGTGTGCCAGGCACCGAACAATTCATCCCAACTACATGGAATTATGCATTTAATACATTTTTTTTCAGACAGAGGCTTGTTTTATTCAAATGATTCACCTGTTATGACCCAGGCCACTATGTATAGGCAAGGGTGGGGGGAGTTTTACTTCTTGGTCTCTTCCTCTTTGGACAGAGTCTTGATGATCTCCTCCTTCTTGGCCTGGAGGCGCTCTTCATGGCGCTTGTGTGCTTCCTTGGTCTTAGACCTGCAGGCCTCAGCCTGGTCAGCCAGGAGCTTCTTGCGGGCCTTGCCTGCCTTCAGCTTGTGGATGTGCTCCCTGAGAATCCGCTTGTTTTTGAACACATTCCCCTTCACCTTCAGGTACAGGCTGTGGTACATGTGGCGGTCAATCTTCTTAGACTCACGGTATCTTCTCAGTAGCTGGCACAGAATCCTCATCCTCTGCATCCAGGTTACCTTCTCAGGCATTCGAGCATTGGCTGTACCCTTTCGCTTACCTATGCCCATATGCCTGCCCTTCTGGCGGGCCAAGGTGTTTTTCCGGCATGGAGCTTGAGAATGGGCAGTCACAGGCTTGTGGATCTCAGCGCATCTTTGATCAGCTTCCTGATCTGCTGACAGGAGTTGGCATTGGCGATTTCATTAGTCTCATTAGGATCCAACCAGACCTTCTTTTTGCCACAGTGGAGGACACTAGAGGCAAGCTTCTTCCGAAGCCTGAGCATACTCATGGCTCCGGCAGCACTAGCGAAAGGAAAGAGCATTTAATACATTTTAAAGAGCCCGGCTCACTTCTGAAGCCTGGCCTTTTTTTCTGCCTTACTTCTTGGCCACTGTAAATTACTCCAAAAAATGATTTAGAATAGAATAGAAAAATGTTAAAAACAACAGAGAAGCAGAGAAGCCGTCTTTAACATTTCACCCACACAAATGCCACAGGCATCCTGTACCACTTTCTGAGAAAGCACATCTTTTTTCCTTGCTTCCTGGAGAACTCATTCTCGAGCCCTCAAATCCAGCTACTTTCTTTGTGAAACTGTCCCTCACATACCGTCCCAGCCCCCAGCACTTTGCTCCTCGCCTGCACTAGCATTTATCATCACCGCACTGCAAATACGGAAGTGCTTTCCTCCCTGGCTAGAGCTCAAGGGAGTGGGAGCATGTCTTAATCATCGCTAGGAGTTTTCAAGGGTCCTCTCTCTTTCCTGCCTGGTTGCTGCACACACTGAAAAATAAAACAAAGGAGAGGAAATGGGGATTGCAATATCATTTTTTTAAAGATGAAGGCCAAATTAGAGAATTTAGTTCTCATGAAACTGAATGGCCTTGCTAAGTGAATCCAGAATTAGACAGTCTCACCTGCCACACAAGGATCACACAGGACTGAGCAGGTCTCCCCGTATGGGGTAGAAGAGCCCATCCCCGGAGAAGTGGCCCAGTGGCACAGTAAACTTCCCCCTGAAGGCAGCTGTCTTCCAGGGGAAAGAGGGCCAGGTTGGGTTCTACAGGCCCAGTGCTTTCCTTTCCAAATTTACCAATCAGGGATTCTCAGGGAAAATTCTCCTTTCTCAGCCATGAACTGGGGCAGGGGTGTTTTACCTGTTAGAATTAAGCTCTCAGATCTCATAGATCATAAAATTTCAGAAAACCAAAGGGATGGGAACTCAGACATTAGCTATCTTGACCAGCCCTTTCATTTTACATATAGGGAAACTGAGGCCCAAAGAGAAGTGACTTGCCAAAGGTCACTTAATTGTCACCTGTGTGTTCTGTAGCTTTAATCTATAACTTGCATGGCAGATATATACTACTGATTAATATTAATTAATATTGCCTCCCACCCTTGGCAATGCTGCTGGAATTCCGGGGCTGAGTGCTTACTCCAATAGAACCCTGGGATCAGGGCCGCTGCAAGGGTCTACCCCTAGGATATCCTGGCACAGGGCTGTAATTGTGGATTTAGGAAACAGGGTCCTTGGCTAACTCAATTCTCTCCACATAATTAAAAGAGGGAGAAGTGAAATGTCAGGAGGAAACACGCATTTAATACATTTTAAATCCTGGCCTTTTTTTTCCTGCTTTAATTCTCAGCCACTGTAAATTACTTCAAAAAACGATTTTAGAATAGAAAAAGGGGCAAGGAGGCAGAGAAGCTGTCTTTAACATTTCCTCTTCCTTCGGCATCATTTAGGAATTTAATTCTGAAGCACAGCAAGCAGGCAGAACCGGCCGTGGGCCACAGACAGCACTTGAAGATAGGATTTTTTTGCTTGAGATTTTCCCCTAAAACTACCTAAAGAATGAAGACCTCTCCCAGCGCTGCTTAGAATAGAAAGCATTCCTAATTCCTCATTAACGGGAATAGGAACAAAAGGATTCCGAAGCAAGGACTGACTTGAGTTCACCGCTAAATCCACTGCATCAAGCTGGGGCGGGGTTGCGGGGGGCGGGAAAACGCGGAAATTAACCTCATGTTTGGGAAATATCAGTTAAATGCTTTTGTAACTTCATCACCATCCACTCAGGGAAAACATTACTCTTCAAGCCTCCTGTTTGCCCGAGAGTCAGGAGCTTCTAAACCAAGAAAGGAAGAAACCAGGCGGGTTATTTACGAGCCCCTTTCCTCTCGCCGTTTTAAACCACTGCAAAATAAACCCGTTTGCTGTCGCCCTGGGACCACGCCGGGCCGAGCTGACCCGCCCGCAGGGGTCGGCGCGCCGGCCTCCCCGCCCCCTGGCGGACCAGCGTGACAGCGCAGCGCGGCCCGGGCGGCGGCACAGCCGGCTACCGGCAGACAGCGCCGCAGCCCGACGCCTTCCGCGCAGCCTCGGGCGCTGCTCGCTCGCCTCGGGTGTCCGTCCAGCAGGGATGCGGGGCGAGGGGATGCCAACCGAGGCTCCAGCGCCCGAGACCTCAGCATAGTGTCCGACTGGGTGCCGCCGGCAGCCATCCCTACCTGGCCCGGGAGCGCACGGGAATTTGGGGGCCGGCAGCTGCGGTGCAACTTCCCCAGGGGGCCAACTTAAGGCTCACCCGCGGACTCGGTGCAGGTAGCTGGGTGCTGAGCAGGGTGGACGGCATGACTAGGGCTAGTGGGGCCATGGGGACCCGAGTGGAGGTGGTGGGTGCCTTGCGCTCCTGGTTCCTGGGGGCGCGCGGGGTGCTCTGAGAGTTGTAAAGTGACCGCTCGGGACAGGACTGAGATGCGGAGCTATTGACCGTTGGGCTCCAAGACGCGCGTCGGGTTCCTGAACTTTCCAGGCTGCTGGGTTAGGGAGGATCCCCGCGGGAGGTGTCTGGACCAGGGGTTCTGGGGACCGCGGTTGGGCGTCCTAGGTGTAGGCTTTGGAGCAGGAGTCCTCGGGGAGGGACTGCCGGACGCGGTTCGGTGGAAGCAGCCGGTTCGGAAGTTCAGGGAGTGAGGGCTGAGCGTCTTAGAAACAGGAGGGTGGAGGCGGATGGTCCTGAGCTGGGGTTTCTGTTTGGGGGGTGCCTGAGCAGGCACATGGACTAAGGTTTATTGGGAGAGGGGCTGGCTTGGGGGTCCCAGGGGAGATGGACGTGCTGAGGGTGCTGGGAGAGGTAGGTATATGGGGAATCCCCAGGGGAAGTGGAGGGTTTTGGAGCCTCAATCCTGGAGGAAAGTGGCTAATTCTGATGCTCCTCCTCCCCCAGTGGAAGCTGCTGAACATCTCAGGGAACTGGCGCCGGTGCAGACGATTCCCGCTCATTTGCAGCGGCTCGGAGGAGCTAACTCAAATGGGGATTTCTGGGGTGGCGGCTGAGCAACCCGTGGTCGGCGGTTGTGCCCCGAGTCCCAGATGACTCGAGGTTCCCAGGAAGGGGACGAGTGCGCCCCACGCTCGTCGTTCGAGTAACGCGGCGGTTTTCTCATTGCCCGCTGGTTTGTTCCAGGCTGGGACCCAGCAGATCCGTCCGCGGAGTCCCCCGACTGAGCCCGGGGCGCCCCCCGGGCCCGCCCTGCCCGCGCGTCGGGCCCCGCCCCGCCGCGCCGCAGCTTAAAGGACTCGGGCCGGGGCGCGCCGCGCGGCGGGGCATGGAGGGCGCGCTTGCAGCCAACTGGAGCGCCGGGACGGTGAACGCGAGCGCGGCGCCGCCGGGGGCGGAAGGCAACCGCACCGCCGGGCCGCCGCGGCGCAACGAGGCTCTGGCGCGCGTGGAGGTGGCGGTGCTGTGTCTCATCCTCTTCCTGGCGCTGAGCGGCAACGCGTGCGTGCTGCTGGCGCTGCGCACCACGCGCCACAAGCACTCGCGCCTCTTCTTCTTCATGAAGCACCTGAGCATCGCCGACCTGGTGGTGGCCGTGTTCCAGGTGCTGCCGCAGCTGCTGTGGGACATCACCTTCCGCTTCTACGGACCCGACCTGCTGTGCCGCCTGGTCAAGTACCTGCAGGTGGTGGGCATGTTCGCCTCCACCTACCTGCTGCTGCTCATGTCGCTCGACCGCTGCCTGGCCATCTGCCAGCCGCTGCGCACGCCGCGCCGCCGCACCGACCGCCTGGCCGTGCTCGCCACGTGGCTCGGCTGCCTGGTGGCCAGCGCGCCGCAGGTGCACATCTTCTCGCTGCGTGAGGTGGCCGACGGCGTCTTCGACTGCTGGGCGGTCTTCATCCAGCCCTGGGGACCCAAGGCCTACATCACGTGGATCACGCTAGCCGTCTACATCGTGCCTGTCATCGTGCTCGCCGCCTGCTATGGCCTCATCAGCTTCAAGATTTGGCAGAACCTGCGCCTCAAGACGGCGGCGGCGGCGGCGGCTGAGGCTCCCGAGGGCGCGGCGGCTGGCGGGGGCCGGGTGGTCCTGGCACGTGTCAGCAGCGTCAAGCTCATCTCCAAGGCCAAGATCCGAACGGTCAAGATGACCTTCATCATCGTGCTGGCCTTCATCGTGTGTTGGACGCCTTTCTTCTTCGTGCAGATGTGGAGCGTCTGGGATGCTGACGCACCCAAGGAAGGTACGGAGGGAGGGAGCGCGGGGAGGGCTCGTCCTGCGGCCTCTGCACGTCCAGGGTTCTGGGGGCTTGGGGGCGTAAGCGGGTTTGGAATCCCACAGAGCTGGGTTTGAGTCACTGCTCCATCATCCCTTGGCCAAGCGACTTTGGGCAAGTAACCTCCCTGAGCCTCGACTTTCTTTTCTGTAAAATGGCAGTAATGATAAAAGTACCAACTCTCACCAGGCAGTAGGGGAATGAAACGAGAAAACACACGTTAAGTCTTTAGCACAGTCCCTGGGCTGATGTGGGGTGGTTGTGGTGCACCAGGAAGCAGATTCAAGTGACTCCTTTTCCCCAAGTGGTCAGGGAGTGGTGGAGGTAAGTTTCTAACCCCTGCTCAAGTGCCTTCCATTTTAAGTTCAGTTTAAGTTGAACTTCCACTTTAAGTTCAAGACTCACCCTGAAGCTCAGAGGTCTGGTTTGAGTAAGAGCAGCCTTGGGGAGACGGGTGGTTTTGTCTAGCCAAGCACCTAGAAGGTGCCCGCCTGGGTGCCGAGGGGGAGGTGGAGACCAATCCCTGAGCCCCTCCTCCAGTGGAGGTGATGAGCTTAGAGGTGGAGAGGTGAGTACTGCAGGGGGCGGAGGGTGCCAGGACCGAGGCTTTGTTTCCTTTTGAGGAAAAGGGAAGAGAGATGAGACTCGGCCATTCGGTTTTGACCTGGAGGCTGGGTGATTTCTGTAGGCGGGGGACTCGCCTTCCAGGGTGTGTAACTGCTGAGGACAGGGCGGAGGGTGGGTTGTTGTCCATTCTAGGCCTGTGTCAGCAAGCCAGGAGGAGGGCCAAGGGGGGTGATTTAGAGGAGGGAGCTTGGGGAACAGAGGCACCTGGGGCTCTGGGCAGTGGCTGGTGCTGGGCAGCTGCCCCCAGGCATGGAGCACCAGGCAGCTCCCCTCACTCCCCCAGTTCCAGTAGCTCATTTGGAAAGAGCAGGAGGGGTGATCATTGGTGGCGAACGGCTTCCACCTTTTTTTTGAAGGTAAGCACGTAACGTATGCTGGGATGCTGGGGACGTCAGATGCTCGTAAGGAAAGACCAAGGGATTTGCTTTCACCCTTCTGCGCTCCAGACACTGCAATGTCCTGTTTCTGGATATAGCCTCTGCTGCTCCCAGCAGTCTCAAACACGTGCGTCCCTTGTGTGAGGGCTGAGTTTGTTAACTTTGCTTTGGTCCTTTCCAGAAACCACAGACTCCTGGCTTCGCCGAGCCCTCCCAGTTAGCTCCACATTTGCCTTAGTGGCCAGGGTCCTTGTCATTAATATCTACTGGACGCCTGTGATATGCCAGCCCCCGGGTGGTACGGGCACCAGTACCAGTTTGACTCCATCCTGCAGCCCCTGGTCACTCCTGGCAGAGGGGAGGCACTTGGACCGAGTCGCTCAGCAAGTCGTAGGCAGAGCGGCACCTGGAGCTGGGGCTCCTGTGCCAGGCTTCTCGTGAAGGGCAGATGACTAGCAAGCTGGGCTGGGCAAAAGCCAGCAGGGGAAGTGTTTAAGTAAGGCGTCGGGCCACACCTGTTTCTTGGGCAGGATGTGAAGAGACCAGCCCCAGGTCTTGAGGAGCTCGAATGCCAGAGGTTGAGCAAGCAAGACCAGCGCCCCGTTAGAGTAGGCGCTGGGGAGACGCGGGCTCTAGTCCTCCCTCCAGGATTTAGCAGCCGGGGGACGTCGGGTGAGGGACCCCTTTGTACCCCTGAGCCTTAGTGTCTTTCGGAAAGAGGACATTTCAGCATTCAGTCACTCAGCAGACTTTCTCCCTCCTCTCTCTGTGGGGTCCGCTTGCCCCTCCCCTTCATTTCCTGAGTCCTTGGTGACTCTCCTCCCCCCTTCTCCTGCCACGCCCCTCCTGTCACGGACCCCTCACCTGCACTCGGCTTTCTCACTTATCTCCTGCTAAAGAACGAGGGTGTGTGGTCAACACACATGCCATGATCACAGAGTGCAGTGTAGGTCTTTTCTAAAATCACATCAACAATTCATTTTTCTGTCTTAAAAACAAAAGAGAGAGAGAGAGAGATCCCCGCTGAAGTGGAGGCCAGAGGCCTTTCGGGGCTGCGTGGTCCTCTGAGGGTTTTCCTGCGGGCGAGACCTTTAAGAACCTCAGGTCCTCGTTCCCTTTGTGCCTTCACTGCTTTACTGATTCACAGGGAAGGGTGGGTGTCACGTGAAAGCCAGGGCTTCTCTCTCCTCCCCGCATTCTGTCCCGGGTGCTGAGAAGAGTCCAGATGCAGACCAGTGGGAATTCTTGACGCTGCTGCGGCCCGTACCCCCGCCCACCCCAAGAATATGGCCAGGAGCAGAAGCCCAGTCCAGAGGTGAGAGTCTCATCCGGCACGGAGCTGAGGACTTGGGCTTTGGCCACCAGGCTGGCCGAGTTGTGCCAGGGCCTCAGGGGTGCAGGGGTCAGAGTGGGTGTGGGCTCAGCTGGAATGCATGCCCTGTGCCCACTTGGCCTTAATTCGGACAAGTGCAGGCAGCAATCAGAGAGGATGGTGTTTGCACTCACTTTGGAGATGGCACTCAATCTGGAGGCCATCAGCAAGTGTTAAGGAAGGAATGAAAGAGAAACACACTTGAGCTACTTGAGAAATTTTGATCAGAAAAGTGGAATTAATGCACAGCCCGCACTTTCCTCTCCAAGAGGGACAGAATGTACAAGAGATGCAAAAATAATCTAGATCAGGGCCCCTTACTCTGCTCACCCCTCGGGAGCCAAAACTTGGAAGTGCGGGGAGCCGGCGGCTAACAGCGAGATGCCATCCAGGCAGGCCTGTGGGCGGAGCAGGCTGGGGAGGGCGGCGGGGGAGAGAGCTGAGACAGGTGGGGACTGTCCCTGCCAATGGCTTCAGCATGGAAATCTCAGGGAGGATGGAAGCTTAGCCCACGGGCACCGGCCGAGGCCGACAGAGTGGGTGGGGACAGACGTGCTGGGACAATAGTGACCATGATAGTACTATTATCAATAATAAAGTCTCCTTGTGTACAGATGAGCTGCACACGTGGTTCCTTTTCATAGGAACCAAGGCAAAGAGGAAAGTTTTCAATTCTAGTATTTCCATCGTTCAGAAGAAAAAACCAAGAGGAATGTTTGCGTAATGTAATGAGCATCTGGGTGCTGCTGGGCCCTGACGTGGTGAGGCTGGTGAGACCAGACACCCCACGCGGTTTGACAAACCCCGCGCGTCTTCCGGCCAGAGACGTGGCACCAGGCTTTCCCGGGAACCCCGTGGAGTCTGCTCCGCAGCTGGTCCCAGGGACGCGGACCTTCGAGGGAGGAGTTTGTGGGGAGGCGGCGCTTGCACTTCCAGGCTTGGCTGGTGCAGGCTGGGAGAAGGCGCGTGATTTGGAGTCTGCGTTCCTCGTCTTCCCTTCCAGCATCGCTCTGGTGAAATGCCCAGTCCAGAGGGTGAGGCGGAACAGGAGAGGGGACAGGCTGGCCCAGGGCTGGGGCCCGCTGCCTGTGTACACGAGAGGGGAACTGGCTCCTGTGTCTTCCCCATTCTCCGACACCCAGGAACTAGAGGAGAAGCGTTTGGATGAAAAAAACGAACAAACTCACACTTCATAGCTGAGCTGTATTCGCCTTTCAGGGTTCTTTTCTTTCAGACTTTCCAGTTTCACTGGAATGAGAAAATGCCCACAGAGAACAGGGTGGGATCTCTGCTGCTGGGACTGCTAGAGGACCATGGGGTCTAGCTGGCTGGCTAGGATGCTGTAGAATCCCAGCGCACACGTGCAGGGGAGATGCAGAGGTGTCAGAGTCACGGCACTGGCCTGCGTTTGGAGCCTGCTCTGCCACTTTCTCCTGTGTGTCCTTGAGCAGTCGTTTTCACCTCTCTGAGCCGCAGCTGCCTCCTCTGTACGGTGAGGGTGGCACAGCCTACCTCGTGGTGTGACCCGGGGCACCCAGGGGCTACGTGATCAATAGCACTTTTCTCCCCGCCCCGCTCTACTTTTTAAAAGTTAGCTTGAACTCTTGGGATTGTCTCCGAGAATCTCAGCAGTTATTCCTGATGGGGGAGATGTTTGTTTTTCTCTTGAGCCTGGGTGGAAGCAGAGCCTAGTGGACAGCAGGTGGTGCGACCAGGGAGGTTGGGATCTGGGGGAGAAGCTTGTTGAGGCTTGAGAGGTGGACTGTGAGCCCTGTCACAGCAGGGCCGCTGCCTGTCCGGTTCACTGGTGTGTGTTCAGTGTCTGGCACAGGGCTGGGCACCTGTCCATAGCTCAGCTGATGCTTGTCAAATTCGAGGGAGATGGGAGTAGGCAGGTGCACAAGACGGGCCAGGGATAAGCGTGAAGAGCTGGACTCAGGAGGAACAGGCACTTTCTAAGTAGTCCTCCAACAATGGAACTGGCAGCCTGGCGAGGAAGTGAGCGCCCCATTACTGGAGGCAACCAAACACCTGTCAGGGGACTGGAACAGGAGGAGGGTTGAAATGCACAGAAGGCCTGGTTTTAAGTGGTTCCCCATCTGTAGAACGAACTTCCCAGCCCCTCCCTATTTCCGGGGAACTGAGGACCCTCCAGCATGTGGAGGACCATGGATGCTGTGCCCAAGGTATGGGGGGCCAGGCGCCTTGGAGGGCTTGGTCTTCGGGTGACCCAGTGACGAGGAGAGCATCGGGGAGGGTGGACAGGAGGAACTTGGACAGGTTATTCACTCCGGGCCATGAAGAGCCCTCCAGGGTGGCCCTTCTGGGTATAAATTGTAATTAGACAGACAGTTAATGGCCAGGCTCTTGTCTGATTAAGCAATTGTGAGTTCTTTTATGTTCTTGGCTAATGCTAATGTTTTTCATTTGGGTTTCTACCCCAAGGTGACTTCACTTCCCCTCCACCCCAAAGGTTTGATAAATGACAGCAAAAAAAGAAAATCTGTTTGGTGAGGTTTTGCTACGTATTTTTGCAGTTTGATGGCTGTCTGGGTGGGGTGGGGGAGGGGCGAGGAGGGGAAGAAGGGGTG